GAAAGATTTCTAGGGGGCGTTTGAATTGATTTTTAGCAACAAGTTCATGATCTACAGCAGCTTTTCTGAACTTTTTGATCGACACTCTCTAACTCTCTACCAGCAGACAATTTTTTTACGATTACTATATAATGAAGAATAGTAGAGGATAAAGTATTCGGACGTGGATCAATCCCGTCTGATGGATACGTCCCGCACTCGTCTTTCATCAGATTCGCAGTGACGTATTGAATGCGTGTGCGGCTATACAATGACTTGCGAAGGCCAAACGATGTAGTGGACAAGGTAGTGTTTTATCCTCCCAGACGAGTCTGGTACTAATCTTCCGATCCCAAACGATGTAAGGCTCGCTTGGTCTGATACCGACCCGGGTCGCGATCCACGGACCATGACCAAAACACGTTCCGACATCTTCCTCTTTATGTAAGCCTTTTACTCTCTAATGTGGTCCGTGTACTCGATTTGGAGATTGATTTCTGGCATATGCTCAAGATTACGTAGGTAGGCCACTGCGACTGTAAAAAAAATTGTATGAGAGGCAGGCTGTCAGAATCAAAAGCCTTTGTGTGGGTTCTCGATCCTACAAAAAATGCCTCAAAAAATGGCACGAGGAACTGACGAGGGGATTGCAAACAGAAAAGTATGTCGAGAAATTTCGTGAAGTTGCTGGAATATGAGACAAGCTTCGGGTTTGAGATTTGGAATCCGATCAAATTCCTCACTAGTAAGAGCGGGCATCAAACCTTCCTTTCGTGGAAACATTTTGGGAAGGGTTTTACATTGGAGTAGAATATGGGCAGGATGAGACAATGGCAGAAGTCGCCTTTAGTAAGCCCGTTACCTCGGAGAACCTATCGAAGCGAGTTTGACCTTCTATGGGGTCAGGAAGAACCATACTGACCCCTTATCTGAGCCGCAGTCCATAATTGTGATTTGCGATGATGTGGTCCCTGCAAAACATCATCAAGTTCAATTCTCACATTACCATGGAACGTTTCCAGGCAGAGACTGAGTATATGACGCAGATTTTTTTTCCTCTAGCACCTCTTTTTCAACGAATAACATTGACGCTAGCGATGGATTTACTGTTGCGGTCTTATCTCATACGCAGATTGAAAGCAGTAGACTTCATAGAACGTAATCTTTATCTTAGGGCTCTTGCCTGATTATTTTTGAGAAACTTGAGCTAGCAAGTGTCAGAAAGCTTCTTCGAAAGATTACACCTGTACCCGATTCGTGCAGAGAAGCATGTAAATGGAAACGGATTTGCTCGCCGTCATAGGAGTCATGCAGGAAGATAGAGCGTTTTTTGTTGAATACTCACTCACACTGCTCTATGCCGCGCATTCAACTTCATCCGTTTATACGACTCTAATCGGGGTTTGGGGAAAGAATGGTAAGCTTAGAAAGATATNATGCGATGGAGTGCTTGTAACTCTTTCAGGAAGGTCTGCTGTAGAATTGACTGCAGCCGTGGGTAGAAACTACTTTAAAGAATCTTCCTTTTTGGCAGGGTGGCTTTTGCTCCAATCGGCATGAGGTACTCAAACTGAAGAAGGAATGAATGAATTCCGATCATGAATGAAATGAATGAATAGCGTTTCGTCGCCAAAAATTACCCAATGGCTATACATTTTGAAAGCGAAGGTGCTGGATTGCTCTCAAGATCAAGTTCTGAAGCAGCACAGCAACAACGAAAAAAGTATTTTCTCTATCATTCCATCTTACTAGTCTACTCCATTTATCCGACTCTTGCATTTTGATTTCGATGGTTGGGAGTATGTGAATAGGATTGGTTGCAGTTGGGTAGAATTCCTCTGTGAACTGAAGACAAAGAAGTACCGTCTAAAAACGTTTAGCTTATGATTTAGGTGATGTTTCCAGAAATATCCTTCTCTCCCTACTTCCTGTTGACCGACTTCCTTGATGCGACACACTACCTTGCGAATAAGAGCATCTCCCAACCTTTTGTCCGTTCTCCCGAATTTTTGTCCGTCGAGAAATGTTCAAGCTCTTGCTCTGTTTTGGAATGTTAAGCCCTTGAGCTAAATTTGTTCATAGGTATCACTCTCGGGAATTCGTTTGTGGTCGGAATAGGGGTGTAGGTGTTTCTGACTTCTGAGAAAAAAGGACGAAGATTTCTTTGAGCTTCAAGCGAGTTCTCAGAAATTTTGGGAAAACTATGAAACTGCGCATATGATAATCTAGTGTACCGATACCCTTTCTTTATTTATTCAATTATTTGATAATGTAGGCAAATTACCGGTCATACTAGTGGAGGTACAAGATCTTGAGAGCCTCTATCATGGTTAGTTGCAGTAGATTCCATGACTTTGATACCTGTGTTCCCTGTTTGAAGGATAAGAAGATGTCAGGCAGTGCTTGAAACCATAAATTTGACCTCATCAGTGATACGATGGGAATTCGGAATTTCATGAATCTACAATAGTATTAGGCATTGCCAATGATAATTTCAATAAAACTTCTATACTCGTAACCTTGATTGTCTTGGCAAATGTCGAATACAATGAAAATCCATCTCACCAGTAAACAAGGTCATTTACATGTATTCCCCAATAGAGACTTGGAATTCGAGGCAGACCTCGCCAGCAACCCTTCCATTCAGGAACTTCATCAAAAGAATCCCACCTTATCATAAAAACTAACGAGTGCTTTCATTTTAAGCCACCCTCCACCGTTGGAAAAACATTTATTTAAAAGGTTACTTTCGATATAACTCTTCTGCTGGGTCGTGAAGGAGTGCTGTAAGCATTTATAGAAAGAATTATGTATAAGAGAGGAAAAGTTGCCTTTATTCGAGACCAACCCCCTACTTCTGCAAGCATTTATGTCTTTTTGAGTATAGGTGCTTCTTTCTGTAAAGGGAGAAGCGTCCCACCTCACTCCCACACTTTTCCGAATAAAGGCTCCTTTTTACAATTTTACTCTTCGAATCGCCCTTCTTCTTTGAAAGTTTCCGATAGTCTGTCTGATCCTTTGAATAATACGTCGGCTCGGCTAGCCAACAAAACGGCTCAGCTGTGTTCATCAGCTTGTATTGAATTTCAAATAAGGAACTTGGGGGGTGTTTTGGTCTGTTCAATTCACCGGGCAACCAAAGTACTCTTTTTCATTATGTTAGTATTTGGACGCCTTTTTTGTGGCTTTCACAGCCAAGCACGAAAGGCCGTCGACGTTTTTCGTGTCCCCTTTTTTATCACGGCAGGACAGCAATTTTATCCTTTTTCGCTTTTTGTCTCATACGCCAGTAGCCCCATTGCATTCTCCCACTTGAAATGCGGTGGTGGGTAGCACAGCGACGTTAATGCGACCGATGACTGAGTGAGAGAGAGACAGAAAAGAGAAAAAACGGTTCTTACTTCTAGTCAGCTATTGCCGTTTTTTATCTAACCACCACCGAGCACGAGCCATTTTCGTAGTCGTTTTTTATCATGCTCTCCTACCTCGCGACGTGCCTGGTGCGGTCGTGAGAAAAACAAGCGCTCACGCGGAAAAAAACGGGGACGGACGCCATTGGAAAAGCGTCCCCTGAAATTATTTCCTTTTCTCATATGTGACCGCGAAATTTACTGTCGTCGATACGGAAAGATTAACGGGGGAAGGGCAAATGAAGGGATGTGTAGGAACGTCGGACTGTACAGAGGATTCTTTTGATTCTGTCGTCGACTGGTAAACAGCCTTTGGCCCAGTCAAGAAAATCTAAACTTTTTATCCTAAGCCAATGCTAAGGAGGGAATGTACAAGTGCTGCAACCGATGTGAAAGATGTCTAGCTTTTCCTTAGTTATTGTTGCTATCAGTTTATCATAGCGGTGTGCGAAGGTGGTGACTGGTGTAGTTGCTGTGGCTCGTGTTTCAAATCTAGGGATCATGAGTGTAGGCCATACAATCACCCATGATTTTCCAAAAATCTGCTTGAAAACATGCCTGCTCTCTTTTTTCCAGCCGAAACTCATGTCTTTCCTAGGCCATTACTATGAAGTAATAAGAAGTTCGAAAAATTTGTTTTTGCTTAATGATGTAGGTTTCTTCCAAGATCCATGTCACATATGGCTGAATAAAGTACTGTTACTATGCTGAAATGAGGTCGAGTTGACCACGAAATCCAAAAGTGATTGGGAAGGGCGAGGAGTTCCAGTCTTTATTCCTTACCTGGACTATAGGGTACACGGTATGTCCTCTCAGCCGACATCAGGCGGCTCCAGTTATGCGAGGTGACAAGAATCCGGCGCAAGACCATTAAAAACGGTCTCTGAAGTCCTGCCGCATCGCCCAGGGTCGCGATGTCAACGTTAGGTCAACGACTTTATTCTGGATTCTCTCGCTATGCATGTTAGGTTGGTTTTGGAGCATATATCATTATTTACGTTCATTTTTATTGGATGCTCTTTACTTTGAGAAATATTGTTGAGGTTAGTCGTTGCTACTTGAGTTCTACTTCGAGAATTTCTTTTCTAAGGTTTCGGTACAGCGCAATCCTTCCACTGCTCGTTTCCTCAGTTATCCTTCGCGGTGATGTAACTGGAGCACAGTTTTCAGTGAGTTTTTTTGAATTCAGTTGATGAAAGAATTCACAGCGCCAACTTCGGCTTCAATGGATCCCGTTTTGGTAGTCGCTCCCACAGTCGACTTCATATCGGAATAATAGTAGCGTCCGTAGCCCACAGCGTCTGCATGGTCACAGGGTCGAATCCAGATCTATATCTACCCAGGCCAACAAAGCCTACCATCTTTTTGGAATCAGTTGACTGGTACCCGACTCGTCTGAGAAGATAGAAGCAGTGCTTGTACATCGGCCTAGCCAGCCCAAGTCATTGTATAGGCGACATACACACTCATTGTGCCACTACGATTCTGAATGGAAGTCGAATGCGGGGCCCTCAGACGGAAATGACGCACATCGACTCTATGTTTAATCACCTATTTCAGAATCCACCATGTGCATCGGGATGGATGTCGTACCTGGGTAGCTGTTATCGCATGGAAAACAAGACAATGCCTCTTCAGAAAGCCGAGAAACGCTGTTCCGCAAACGGTGCTAACCTCTTCGTTGCTAATTCGAAAGACGAGTTCGTAAGTACTTTCGTTTGACCAATGAAACTGCCCTCATATAAAAGAGCGCTGTCCGTTCTGAGAGTTTAAAACGTTAAGGTTGCTGGACTACAACTGTCCCCCGTCTCTTCCGCTTTTATTTATTGAATAATAGTCAAAATTCTACCGTTGTTTTCTCCCAGTCACTGCTTTCCAAACCTTTTTTGATGAGGTCTAATCTTAACTTAACAACCCACATTCAATAATAGTGACAGAATCCTATTTATTAGTTACGTAATCTCGAATTTCAGAATGAGATCAGTCGTCGAGCTCCTCGAAATTTCTGGACGTGGGTCGGCTTGGCTCAGTTTGACAACCAGGCAACACCTATATGGCAGACCTCCAGTGGGATTCAACCATCAGCATTGTGAGTTGTACAAGTTCCATTTCGAGTTCTCATTACTACAATCTAATCACGTATGCCATTTTACTTATGCTCTTAGTGGGACTGACTCAAGGTGATAGTGGGACCGACTCAAAGTGAAGTTCAGGGCATTTTCTAATCCGAACGTGGCACCAAACGTTCACCCTCAGAATTGTTGATAGCGAATTTTGATGTAAGGTTTAAGCTAGTGTAGCTATCTAGCGCTAGTATGATTTGTTGGTAAGTTTCCCTTGCTTGGCAAAACTTTCAGAGGATACTGTTACAATAAGCTTGCGGCAGAGTTACGTAAAATAAGGCGCTTCCCTTATGAGGGCCACCGCTTGCTCCTACCTAAGCTTTGGTCTATAGTCAACATTGGGACGACTGTCAGCTGCCACACCAGATGTCCTCATCTATACAATTTTCCCGATATGTGATTTTGAGTAGGCAAGAAGTCAGGCATGGATTACATCCCGCTGGCTTTTATTAATTCTTCTGGGATGTCAGTATTTCACATTTGTTATATTTACTTTCTACAAGAGGGTATGGTTGGGAAGGACCACCTCGATAGTCTCTCAGCCCTATAATCTGTAAAAGACGGATGGTCTCTCAGCGTAAGCAGTCCAGCCCACTCCGAACAGGGTGACCTCGTTCAGACGAGCCGAGCACCGCTTTCTGACCCATACTTACTCAAGAGACCATGGTAAAAAACTGCTTACAATTAGATCGGTTCAGGAAGTGGCTGATCAACCCGTTTTCGCCAGCTGCCAACGGATGGTCTGCGGCATCCAGGTGCGTCGCGTACTACAATGGCGATGTGGAGTCGACTCGATACCTTTACTTTTACCCATGTGAATCGATGTTCTACTCAATATGTGAGAGGAATTCAACGTTCAACAATGCCCTGGCTCAACAGGCTGGACAACTGCCATTCTTACATTTTTAATGCCTTTATTGTAAACAACAATAACAATCTCAACAATTTGCGATACTTTCTTATCTCTCTTTGTGACGACACCTACATTTCTGCTTCTTTATGAATTATTTTGGTAATTTGCCACCAAAACAAATTGAGTAAAGGGTCGGATAACAGTGGGGCTTTGTTCATTCATACTATAAGATACAACTGCCGTAATGTGAAAGTCAACAAACTGTTCCTGCAGGATGGGAAGCAATGAAGTATTCAGTTAAGTGCCTTCCTATAAAATCTCATAAAAACCTTAAGCTACCCCGTAGAGGGGCAAAGAAATACGTAGCATGAAGTTCAAGTTTACATACTTCCACTTCTTTTGAGGCATGGATAAGGAGACGCCGTCGCCAATCCCAGAAATAATGTCATTGCTTTCAACAACCCCAAATGCCTTTTCAGTAAAACTTAATAGCTGGTATTTTGCCAAAAAAATTGACGGGACGAAGTGAACTTCCTCGAGTCGAGTTTCGTCGAGTCGTCAGTGTTTTTGGCTCGGCTAGCTCCCTTTTTTTCTTTTTTTTGTGATAATTAAATAAAGAAAAGAAAAACAAGAAAAGAAACCAGGGAAAGGAGTAACCCTGTGATGGGAAACCCGACTTATCGTTTTCCGCAAAAATTGGGGCTTATATTAGGAAAAACGCAGCAATGTGACTCCAAATATTTCACAATGCCGCTCGGAATGCTTTAAATGCAACGCGGCGGCGGCACTTCCTGACCCAGACCTGCCCTTTTCTATAATTGGGCAATTATTAATACAATTTTTATGCTAATATACCTATAGGTTCATCTTCAATACCACATGCATTAATACCTCGAGCAAAATACACATAGCCATGTTCAACACCCCACGTATTACCCCAACTGTTCTTTACAATCCAATATTTCTCTCCGGCTTCTGTTGTACCGTAGCCGGTAATCATTAGCGAATGAAGTCCGACCACCTTAAATAAATAGTCAAAACTCTAAAAAATTGGGCTGCGATACTACTTTGATATTAGCAACGGACCTTGTGCTTACAGTCATCAGCGTTTGGTGTAAAAACACCACCTTTATAAGGTTTCATATCAGGTGTGACTGCTATACCGATGTTGACTGGACCATATCCTACTAGCCAATCAATTATAGACTGCTCATCAGGATGGATGAAGTAAGCTACCTAGAAAATGCAACGAGCAATGAGCTCCTTGAGGGATGCTGCAGTATTTTGGCTTACCTCGATTTTGGTAACATTTCCATCGACTCTACAAGTATTCTGTCGGTGAGCTACGTAGGGTAGATCGGCGGTATAAGCGAGCCCGTGTCGATGGATGTATCTGAACCGAGTGTAAGTATCAACTGAGATTGAGAAGGCGAACTCTTCTGTGTAAACCTCTAACTGAAAGTACGTTCGGCATTGAGTAGGAAGCCAATAGGCCACAAATGGACTAGGCACATATAGGATACCCATGCGCAGTGAGTTTTGTACCCCTAGCAAGAGAGGCGATTGCTGCGCAGCAAAGGAGAAAGGTGCTCAAGTCGGGGTGTGGAGTATAACAGCACATGTATGTCACCTCCTAAACAGGGTATTGCGCAGGAAACATGGGCAACACGATCAAAAAGCCGTCAGTTTCATTCATTGAGTCTATTCACGTAAAGACAGCTCACGATAATCTTGGGGTGTCTGGTTTGAAAAGAATAATGGAAGTGATAGTCCAGAGTAGTGTAAAAGTAGCGAAGGAGACGCGAATTTGGAGTATTTCGAGAAATTGAAGGCTTTGGGAAAATAACGAAAATTAAGAGTTGGACGAGAAAGTGCCGACAGAAGTTAAATGACAGGGGTAATCGAGCGAGCTGACCAAACATGTGCACTATGGTGTACACATGGCTACAGTAGGCTCCATGCTACGTGTGGGTTATGGTGTCCATTTTTGGTAAACACTAGCAGATCCAACCGTCAGTAGGCGACCCATGCAGTCTAGAGAGTCGTTCAGCGAGAAATCTCCATATAGAAGAAATTCTTAGATCCATACAAACTACTCTATTCTAACTGAACCCCAAACTCGGAAGAGAGCACTGTTGGTAAACAAGAAGTAAAAAAGCAATATATGAGTGCAAAGTGTTCAATAAGCTTGAATATGTAAGAAGCGCATCATTGACAGACCGGAATGCCTTGTCTTCGTCTCCACCATCACAAGCATTGTCGTCGAAATCACAGTCGAGAAGTGTCTGTTCAGATAGAGTTCGCATTTCGCCATGAGCGATAGCCCATGCTGCTTCCACCGTGGCAGTGGCTGCGAATGCCCAGCACGAGCCACAATTTCCTTAATTAGAAAAATGACCTAGTAGAAGCTTGCTGTTGTACTGAAACCAAGGCTGAAAGCTTGACTAATATGTCGAACCCACCTTGTGCCTTCACCGGACTCACTACATTTCTTGCTCTCCAGTCGAAAAAGTCTGGAGCAGGAACTGCTCGTTCAGGTTTGGGAGGATCATTTCGAATAAAAGTAGCTTCTTCACGTAGTTTCTTGTAGAATGTTAGTGGTNACAAGAAATAAAAAAACAATATATGAGTACAAAGTGTTAAATAAGCTTGAATATGTAAGAAGCGCATCATTGACAGACCGGAATGCCTTGTCTTCGTCTCCACCATCACAAGCATTGTCGTCGAAATCACAGTCGAGAAGTGTCTGTTCAGATAGAGTTCGCATTTCGCCATGAGCGATAGCCCATGCTGCTTCCACCGTGGCAGTGGCTGCGAATGCCCAGCACGAGCCACAATTTCCTTAATTAGAAAAATGACCTAGTAGAAGCTTGCTGTTGTACTGAAACCAAGGCTGAAAGCTTGACTAATATGTCGAACCCACCTTGTGCCTTCACCGGACTCACTACATTTCTTGCTCTCCAGTCGAAAAAGTCTGGAGCAGGAACTGCTCGTTCAGGTTTGGGAGGATCATTCCGTATGAAAGTAGCTTCTTCACGTAGTTTCTTGTAGAATGTTAGCGGTAGAAGTGTCTAATATGGAGTTGCAACTTCACTTCAGCAGAAATTTCAAGCTCAGAGTATTCCCACCTTCCTGAATTCTTCATCAGTCCAATCGCTCAGATCATTCTCTCCGAATTGGGCATTGGATTGGCCGTTTCTGGAGAAGCTTAGGTTAATAATAGGGCAGTAAAAAAATTTCTATAAAGTTCATTACACAAATGTGAATCTCTAAATGACTTCAGTGAACAAATACTGTAAACAGGGATCGGACAGCATCCTCGGAACTCTTTCATTTGACTTTAATTAATCACTTCTCACTGCTTCTGGTTTTTTGCTATCTAATACTAGTAGTGATGGCAATTTACGAGTAAGTCAAAGTCAGGAAATGTTTTCATCCTTTGGAACGCACTCATCCTAAACAAACAGTGCTGAGATGACTCGATGATTTGAAGTGGACTTAATCACTCCTGGCTATCCGAATCCCCTATAGCGGTGTATTTGGTCAGGGCTTCCCTTGATGGTGAGCACAACCTCTCATAGGGTATCAGAGGGGGTAAAACCGATGCTTCAAGTTGGGAGGGGGAGTTAAAGCGATGGTATAAGTAGGATCCCAACGTGCCTGTTCATTTCCGAAATTTCTCGCATATTCTTCTCATAAATTTTGAATCTCCTCAGCATTTCTGCGTCATCCTTGTAAGTTTTACCAAATCTGAAAAACAACATCAAAACAGGTAATTCAAGGATGTAGGTTCAAAACAGCGAGCAAAAACTGCAATTTCTACTGTAATTGGAATATGTACAATGCGCAAAAATAGAGTGAGCCAAACCATTGTTTTGGAATANACCCCTTATTTTTCCTGATTGCTTAGGTTTCTCCACGATAATTAGCTATCCAAACGGACATATTCATCAAAAAGATAGCCAACACATGAGTAAATTAATGAATGCAGTTTTTTTCCAAGTCCAAGTAACTCCATTGAAAAGCGATCAGATACATCCAGGAGCAAAGCAATTCGGATGATAATGCCCATTTCCAAATACTTTCAAAGTTAATCAAACTGAGTGGGTCCCCGAAAATCGTTTTCTGACGACTAAATATTAACTTCATTACCATAGAGCTCACCGCAGAGGGCTCATGTAGTACGGTGGCCGTAGTATGATTATCCATTTGTTGAATTAACAAGTTCTGGGATTCGAAAAAAAAGAGTCATTCAATAACTATAGTAAATACAAGAAAAATTTCCATCAGTTTAATTTATAATCACATAAATTTCTTTAAATAAATCATATACACTGCAAAATTTGAGTAGCAAAGTCCCTCAATTGTATGTATACAGATAGCTTCTACTTACTTTTTCATAAATTCCACAAAACGGTCGGTGTATTCCATTGAATATTCCAGCGCATAAGAGTTTTCCGTGTAAGGATGTCTCAGCAACTCTTGTCGATGAGGTTTGTTCCTGGAAGCTTTTAGAAAATTCGAATATTCTGAGAGAATGGCTAGCTATAAATACTTACAAGAAAATCGCATAGATAAATGTTGTCAAGATGAATAGAATGGCAATGGCAAAGCGAATGATGATCTGCCTTCTGAAACTGATTTATGCCATACGCATTTTCCATTCGTCAATGCTGGGAGGTGAGAAAAACTACCTCAGGCGTCCCGGTATGTCAAGTTCTTGTTGTTCATTTGATGGCTGTAGTGGGACGTGAACTTCCTTCTGAGGGCTCACCCTAAAAAATTTTTTAGTAAGGATATTAGGAGTAAAAACGATTTTTATAGGTTTAAAATGCCGAAATCAACCAATGGAAGTTAGAAAACTTACTTTATTCCGGTCATTACTAGGGGCGCACCTTCGGAGAAGAGAGAGCAGAAAAAGTCCCGTCCTTTCAGGCTGATAAGGCGCGCTATCGACATGTGCTCATTTAGCAGTAAAGATAAGTGGAAATGGGAAAATCACAATGACATTTCCCATGATGCACGTGGATGTATTGTCATGCAGCTGAAGTATTAATAGTAGTGAAGTGATCATCACCACTCATCACAACTGCGCTCTGTGGACCTTCCTAAAAGCTGCTGAAGTTGAGGACTTCCTATTGAGCAAACATTACAACCAAGTGGTGGTCTGAGTAGGTCGTGCAAGTATACTTTCCAAATATCGGAATGGGATACGACATGCGCTCGATTACTGTCAGGAACAGGAGCAGCTCCGAACCTGTTATATATCAATTTTGGAGAAACAAATGAGAATGAGGAGGCGCCATCGTGATTGATGCTGAGGCACTGGATGTGAAGACGCCAGGTACACCTGGCATTATTATTTTCCGAGAGTCGCATTTTTTTGACAACTGAAGAGATATTCTTATTGAGCTTTCCAGCCCCAAACTTTATTTTTTTTGGGAAAGAACTCGAAAATTTTCAACAAACACAGATGTGGGTGTGACGGGAAATTGGAACATTTAGTTGCAAGGAGCCAATAAGCAAACAGAAGTGTTCTTCTTCTTCTTTCGAAAGATCAAGGGATTTGGTTAGGGAAAGTCATGGTGCCAATTTCCAAGTACTCCACGTTACTCTCTGGGATTTATGTTAGTCATGGCGCCATCCAAAGGAGCCAGGACTCAGACTAGTCTTGATTTCTATCTTTATTGGGTACATAGCGTAGCCAAGTGTTTCGCGGTGACCAATCTCTTGAACAGAAGTTCCGAGTTTATTTTTATCTGTCTTGTCTTTGTTCTACCTGTTCAGCAGAAGTATTGCTCCTAAAACAAATTTCAGTCTCGTGCAGCCCAGTCATCAAAGGCACCTGCAAAATCATGCTCAGTTCACATGCCGAAGCTCTATGCAGTGGATCTGATTGAAAATCTATTTTAAACTAGCAGGTTGACTAAGTTCTGACCTTTGATTCGTCGCATGATTCTTCTTGCTGCCAACCCCTTTGTCTGCCCTTTTGGGTGATAACTACCAGTGATAAGGGGTTTTTGCTAAGTGTGATAGTTTAATTGCAAATAACAAACATCACTCAGCATGCTGAGTATGCCTCATTTCCTACAATGGACGGCTCAACATCAGCTGATGACAACAGCAGTATATTGGTGGCGTTGATACTGCTCATGATCACTGCCGTACTTGTGTACTGGTATTACTTGCAAAACGTTGGAGGGGTAGGCTGATTCAACAAATTAACACATGGCTTACATAGTGAATGACAGATGACATAACTGTCCGTCTCAATAATAGGTGCATATGCTTTAATCACCATATACTAAATGATATAGAAAAGACCTAGAGCGATGAAAGTGATTTTTCAGAAATCTGCCAAACAAAAGTCTGCATCGGAAAAGTGGGGTCTACCGGTTGATAATATGCCTTCGTTCCCATTACAACAGGTGACAGCGATCCGCGATAAAATGCCGTTATATTTGCTAAAATATTTTCAAAAATAAAGACTACTACACCATAGTGCCATGAGTAAGGAGTTCCCAGCGCGGTCACCGCTCAGAATTTAGGTCACTGCTTAGGGAACTCCATTCAATGTTATGGCACGTTGCCAATGATCGATAAGGAGATGTTTTCACTTTTTTCTTGTGCTGTATGAACCTTGCCCTTTTTTTCTTAATTTCTTGTACTCTTGTAGCTGGCAGAGTGGCTTCAGTTTTGAGCCACTTGTCTTCTATTAAGGACGCCGCGCGAATGGGGGTCCTGCGCGGCGACCGCGATGGCGCATCTTGACCACTGAGGGTTGATACCGTTCAGTAAACTTATGAACGATGACAACGAATTTCAGAAAACTTCATCGAACCTCATTTATGTTGCAGAACACGTCCTCGGTCTTATCACCTCATAAGAAGAAAAAGAAGAAGAAGAAGAAGCTGTCACAGAAGAGTGTTAACTCTACACAACACAGCTCGCTATCGATAAATAGCGTAGAGCCGGCAATCAAGATACCGCATGGTCGAAAACGACGTTTTCACCGCTCACAAATGTCATTCAACCGTCGGTCGAATGATACACGTATGTCAGAACATTACTTTTTTGAAATGACTCCTTTCAGGTTGTTTCCATAATATCTTGTCATCGCGCACATCATGTACCATCATGTGCCCTCCACAAAATGCCTGGACGCACCGCGTCCGCGCGCTCACTTGCAACGAACTGCGGCTTAGGGCCAGATTCAACCCAACTCCAGAAAATCATTAAATAGGACTTTAACTCAAGTTCAATTGGGTTCCCAAGACTTCCATGATGGTCACATTTCTTCCAACAAAACATGATCCAAAGAATTTTGTTGAAGTTTATTAAACTATCAATCGAACTATAAGAATTCCAAATTGAACAAACCATGTAG